CCTTCCTGCTCTGGGAGGAAAAGGAGGAAGAGGAGAAGACAAATGAGAAGAAAGGGAAAGACAGATTTGTTCTCGGCTCTCACTGTCCCATTGCCCTCTGCTCCTGCCTCTGAGCCTGCCACCTCTCTGCTTCTGCAGTGGGAGCCGTGACCCCTCCCTGGGGAGGCCAGCTGGGAGCTGGGGAGCTCTGCCCATGAACGCCACGATGGTCCTACCCGTGGAAGTGGACAGCCAGGCCCCAGGCTATAGCCCTTCTTGGGCACAGACCCGGCTGAAGGACAAAATCACAGACCTTCTTGTGGAGACCAGCACCCACAAGCCCAAAATGGGACACCTGGGGACTTAAGTCCCACTGCCCCACACTATCACATGAAAGCATCCTAGTCACAGGAGCACCAGTGCCCCCTGGAGACATGGGTAAGGTATCACCCTGAATCCAGGTGCTATGGGTTCTGCCTGCCTCAGGGTAGGTAGGGACCGGTTGACCAGGTGGCACCTCTGGGCCTCAGGCATAAGGACACCCCCTTGTCCCCCTTGGGGGCCATCTTGGGCTCTGGCTCAGCTGTGAACTGTGTCATATATACATTTACATCCCCTTATATCTTACAGCACAGTGCAGGGACCAAAACCAAGCCCATTTCACTCTGCCTCTGGCCCCGGACACTGCGCCCCACTCCCCTACCTTCCCAGAGCCCATGCTCCCTCAAACTGTGTCTGTCCACGTCTTCCTTTGAGCAGGCCTGGGCAGCCCCATTTATTCTAGGATATGAGGTAAGGGCTCTGTGAGATTTTTCTGCACCCCTCCTAGCACTCCTGTGTGCCCCGTTATAAGACCAAGTGGGCCCAAAGACCTGACAATCAATATCCCTCAAAGATGAAGATGCTAATAACTTTATCCCCTCTTGTCCTCCAACTCTTGCCTACATTAGCCCTGACCACAGGCCCCAGGCAGCTGAGGCCTGCAGTGGGCAGCCCTGGAGCTGAGTAACCCCTTCCCACCCAGGGGAAAGCAGCGGGAAGGTAGACTGCAGGAAGGACTCCCTGGCATTCAGGAGTGGGGGCCTACAGGGATCCTAGGTCAGTTCTACAGGAGGCCTGACCAGGGTCTTGGGGGATTTGTCACCCTGAAGCACCCTACAGAGTTCACTGCCTAGTGCCTGGGGGCCTGTCCAGAGCTGACAAGCCAGGAGAGAAGTTCCCACTAGGGACACAAGACTGGCACCTAGGGTGGGGGGTCTTAGGAGGGTTAGCCCTGCCCTGCTCTCCCTGCAGTACCCTGAGCTCTTCATCTCCTACCCACCAGGCTTGGTGGGCAGCACAGAAGCCCAGTGCCCACATCTCCTCACCACACACACATTCTCTGAAGGGTGTGCTTGGGATCAGGGGGTGCCATTCCTCCCAAAACATGACATATCCTGCTACAAATACCGGAGGTGGGCCTGATCTGGGGAAGCTAGGGCCTGTGGCAGGCTAGAGAGGAAGAGGCAGGATAGGGAGGGAAAGAGGAACAGGAACAAGCACAAGGAAATCACTGAGTGATCAAAGCCCAGTACCTTGGACAGTGTGTGAGGGGTGCTACTGCTGCCCCCACTTTGCAGAGGGAGACAGTGGCAGGAGCAGGCTCCAGAATCAAGGAAAGGAAAGACCTCCTGTCTTGCAGAGGCCAAAGGGAAGCAGTTGCCTCTGCAGCTTCTGTGCTGCCTGCCTTACGGGACCTGCAGCCTTAGGGCTCTCCGCTGCTGGGCCCTCCTCCCTCTGGCCTTCCTCACCTCTGCCTTGTCTGCCTCTCCAGGCTCTGGGCCTCCTCTTCCTCGTCACCCCAGAGCCCTTTCTTCCTACGCATGCCATCTTGGCACTGGAGCCCATCAAAGTTGGGGAGTGGTGGAGGGACAGAGAGAAAGGGACACAACCCATGGAGCTGTTTAATCACCTCTCTCCCACCTCATGCCTAGATTGCTTGGCAGAGCAGTCTCACGCAGGCCAAAGTTCAGGATCCCTCGGTCCTGGCTCCTCCGGAGGATGTTTCCCTTTCTGTCCCCACTTGGCACCCTGTCCAAGGCCACTTCAGGAATCTGGCAAGTTCTGTCCAGCTGAGAGAGCCCAGACTTATACAGCTGGGGCCCTCCCAGGGGACCCAGGGTGGGACACCCTCCCCCGGGCCGCCCAGCACCCTGCCTGCTTCTTGTTCCTGGAAGCAGAACAGATGTGCTGCCTTCCTGTTGGGACGCCATCCCTGAGAGACAGGGCAGGGAGGAGACCAAGGCTGGCAGGAAAGGCTGAAGGCTTCAGGGAGGTTTGGCCCTAGAAGCTTTAGAGATCCCATCCAGTGCTAGGGCCCCTGGGGAGCTCCATGGGCTTCTGCACCAGATTCCTTCTCTCCAGAGAAGCACTGGCTGGCAGAGGCTTGCTGAGAAGGGAGCTGGGCTCTTTCTGCAATGCAAAGTGCTCCAGAGGGGTCGACAACCTTTCTGAGTCTCTGCTTCCAGCCCAAACAGTCTCCCTGAGAAAGAAGGGAGGAGGGTGGCCTGGAGCCACACAGCCCTAGGTTGCTGTCCTGGTCCCAACCCTCTAGGGGTCCTCAGGGCCCCATCTCAAGGTCCCTTTGCAGTCATCCATCTAGCCAGTGCTCAGACTCCGGGGTGCATGTGGGGGGAGCTAATGGACTTGGCACCGCCAGGAAGTAATTAACAAGGAGGGGGCAGGGGCAGGGGGATGGGGCAGTATTAATGACAACGGAATTTACAGCGGCGGAGTGGGAGCTATGTATGTGTTGTGTGTGTGTGCACATTCACGCTATATACAGCAATGTGCACAAGGTCCTGGGACCACACTGCCTGTGGGGACATGTGGCCTTCAGCTCCTGCCCCCGTAGGGATGACAGCTCTCACTTTTTACTTCAGCCTTGTCCCTTTGGCAGAAGCTCATTCCAGAACCCCTTGTGTTGTCGGCCCAGCTTCTGGACCTGCGGCCTTGCCCCAGTACTCTTTTTTTTTTTTTTTTTGTCAGAACCAGGGATTGAGCTCAGCCCCTTGCGCTTGCCAGGGAAGCACTTATTCCACTGAGCCATCTCCCTAGCCCCTCCCCAATACTCTTGACTTTGGAAATGGACTCTATGCCCTGCAGGTCCCTTGGCTACCTGACCTCCAAACTCTCTACTTCAGTGACAGTGCCAAGTCCACACCCATGTGCCTCAGACCCCACATGGCTCTCCCCACAGGTCCTTGAAATCTGGGGCTGTCCCTCTGTGCCCCTGGAGACTCCAGAGCAGGGCTGGCAAGCCGGGCGTGGCACTGGGATGGAAGCCCCACAGGAGTCCGGAGGCTCCCCAGGGCCTCCTCGCAGCTGCTCTCTGTGCTGTACCTCGCCCTCTGCCCATGTGCCTGTCTGCTTGGGGCTTTCTCCACCCTCTGCCTTTGTGTCCCCTCCGAAGTATCTCCCCAGGCACCATGTCTGCACATTCTGTCCCGTTTCTCTGTATCAGTTCCTGAGCTCACCTGTTGGATCTGATCTATGACTGTCTCCCTCACCCTCCTGCATAGGAACAGTGCAGTGCCAGCCCTGCCCACCTCAGGGCAGGAGAGCAGGCTGTGAGCTTGGCCCTTGGGGACAAGGACACCCTCACCATCAATCAGCCTGCGGCCCTGGGTCAGAACTCCATTAGCAGTAACCAGGCCGGACAAGACGCAGACACAGTGCTGGGCCAGGCCTGGGGGCGATAAGACCTAGATTGAATCACGGGGGCGGAGGCAGAGGGACTGGGCACCCAGGGATGTGAGACAGCTGCCATCAGGCCCTGGAGCTGCAGGAGTGTGTGTTACTGCAGGAGCTGGTGGAAGATTGGGAGTGATGGGGCTGGAGCGGGAAGCGGCTCTCCCCCTGGATCCTGGTACAGCACACACCTTTGGGATGGAGGGGAGAGAGGCAGGGCTCAGGTGGCCTTTGTGCAATAGAAGCCTGGAACCACAACGTTCAGGTCAGTGGCCAAGGTCACAGGGCAAGGGGGAGCCCATCAACTCGGCCCCGCGGACTTCGGCAATGGTTGTGCCCTTAGGAAATAGCTGCCACGCCAGGCCCCGGCCTGCAAGTGCTGATCTCAAAGCACACGAGCCAAGAAGAGTGACAGAGCGGAAAACACAGGGGTCTTGCTTCCTTCAAGTTTTTCTTTTTCTTTTTGTATTTTTAGGGAAGGGTCTACAGGGTATTTCAGGGTTTCACTACTAGATTGGATTCATAATGATCCACCTATTTACAGCCTCCCAAGAGCTGAGATTACAGGCGTGTACCACCACACCTAGTCTCAATTGCCATCTCCGTGTGCTCTGAGGGCAGGGCCAGCACAGCAGGCCCAGGGATAGAACCCCCAGCCCCTGTACCTGCTTACAGGCTATTTAATCCTCTGAGCTATTTGGTTGGCCCTAAGTTTTTCTTTTTCTTTTCTTTTCTTTTTAATGAGGTGTCACTGTGTAGCTCACACTGGCCTTGAACTAACCATGCAGCCCAGGCTGGCCTCAAACTCACTACGATCCTCCTGTCTCAATCTCCTGAGTCCTGGGATACCACCACGCCTGCCTCCTTCACCAGTTCTCATCCTGCTTCTTCCCTATCCCTTCCATACATGTGTTCTCTTTCTCCCTCCCTTCTCCCTCTGCCTCTCACTTGTTCAAATATATGCTTGCTGCATACAGGGCCACCACTTCCATCCTATCTACCCGGAAGTCTGGCTTCCATCCTGCCTTGCAGCTCCAGCCTCCCTGAACCTGAAGTACAGACATATGGCAGTGACAGGTTGAGGGGCTAGGCAGCTTGGCTTCACCACCAGGTGACCAAGACAAGCCCAGCTACGATGTATGTGTCAGGGGGACATGCTGACAGGTGCATGGAGTAGGGGGCAGTGGAGGGAAACTGGAGGGGGAGGACCCCAGAGAGCTGTCCCCTACCTAAGTGTCAATGCCCACCTCCCAGGGTGACGTCATCCTAAGAACTAGCAAGAGACATGACAGAGAGATAATAAATATAATTGCTGCAATGGGACTTTGCCTGGAGAAGCAGGACCATCCTCTCTTCCCAGCCCACCTGGCCCCTCCTGCATGCTGAGGGTAAGTTAGATGCTCTGAGCTCATCCCTGGTGGCTGACAGTAACCCCTGGGCTGGCCCCTAGCCCAGCACATCCAGGTAGACCGGAGGCGCCTGGGCCAGCACTTGCAGCCGGGCGTGCACGTCCTTGATGCTGTGGCGCTGCTGGGGCTCTCGCTGCCAGCAGCCCCGCATAATGGTGTAGACCTCTGGCGGGCAGGCACGGGGCCGTTCCAGTTCACGGCCCTGTGTGATGCATTCGATCGCCTGGGGGCCACCAGAGAGAGAAAAGAACACAGTCGGTGGGCAGAAGAACAAGGCTGGGGGCTGCTGACAACGCAACAGAATGCACAGTGAACCCCAGGATTCCTTTGTGTCCTGACACTGAAAAGTAGGACCAGTTACAGCTTGGACTCCGAGGTCGATTCCAGCCCCACAGATGTCTTCCCAGGTGGGGTAAGGAAGGAGCAGGACTAAGGCACCTGCTAAGCCCATCAGCTTGGTCTTGGGGCTGAAAGGGGGACAGGAAGCATCCTCTGCCTCTCAGCTCTGGAGGGCTGAGAGCAAAACTGAACAAAGAACTGAGTAACCCTCCCCCCCCCAAAAAAAAAAAAACACACAATAGAACAGAATTGCAGTTAAAGGCCTTAAAAAAGTAAAAAAGTAAAGGCAACCTTCACTTCTTTCTCCCCACCATTGGTATCACTGTGCAGGGATTTAGTTCCTCTGAGAAGAGACTGCAGCAAGTAAGATCAAAGTGAGACTCCAAGTGGGACTGCTAGAGCCAGTAAGGGACCCAAAGTCAGAGGCGGTGGCAGAGGAAAATGGGTAGGAAAGGACCTGGAGCCTCTTCTTACTCCCCTCCCCATTAGAGGACTTAGGTTATGGGCGGCACTAATTCCATTCCTTCTCTCAGTGCTTGAGAAAATTAAAATCTATAACCCTCTCCCTACCCCACCAGCCTCCAGGGAGCAGACTGCATTAGGAGGAGAAATGGAAACTGACAGCTGTGAGCCAAAGAGGGGGTGGGGGAGTTGCCCTGGGAGACAGAACACCTGGGGCCTGCTCTGGCTGTGGCCAGCAGGAGGGCAGGGAGAGGGAGCGAGACTGTCCTTCTGAGAGTCTGACCTCCGGCCTTTCTGCTGCAGTACCTGCCCGGCCCTCTGTTCTGTGCCTCTCTCTTCCACCCTCCTACTGCTACCTAAGCCTGTGAAATGTAGCCAGGGTCGGAGGTCTGGGCCTCCACTCCCAAGCACTTCATGGTCCCCAGGAGCCAGGTGGGCCTGGATGAAGGAGTGCATAGGGAAAGAACCCGGAGAAGGAGGAAGAGGATGGGGACAGTGCAGGGATGCACAATGCTGGGGAAGCCCCTGAGAAGGGCCCATGCTGACCTCAGCATTGGAGAGCTGGTACCAGGGCTGCTGGCCATAGGTGAAGATCTCCCACAACACCACACCAAAGCTCCACACATCGCTCTCGGCGGTGAATTTTCGGTAGAGGATGCTCTCAGGCGGCATCCAGCGGATGGGCAGCATGGTGCGGCCTCCCACCTGCCGGTGGGGAACCCCGTATTAAAGACAGAAAGATGCAGTTCTCAGGTTGTGGCCCCAGGGAAACGCAGCGGTACCATCTCCAACAGAGATGGCAGAGGAGACAGACCCAGGTTCAGGAGGAAGATGTAGGTGGATGGAAAGCCAGAGGCTCAGATCCCACACTGTCCAAGGGAGAGGGGTGTGGCCAGCCAGGGTGAAGTGTTCACGGACTTGGGGCGCGAGACATCTACATATGGGTGCTGGTGAGGGGCTAGAAATGAGGGACCCTTACGCGGTAATAGTCGGTGCTGTAGATGTCCCTGCTCATGCCGAAATCCCCGATCTTGACCACCAGACCCTGGCCCACCAGACAGTTACGTGTGGCCAGGTCACGGTGCACGAAGTGCAGGCTGGCCAGGTACACCATGCCCGCTGCCACCTGGCTAGCCACAGCCAGCAGCTGCCCAAGGCCCAGGGGACCTGGGGCCACATCCTCCCCGCCAGCCAGCAGCTTGGCATCAGGCCCATGGGACCTGCAGAAGTGAGAGTGAGACAGATCGGGCTGAGAGGACAGTACCCCAGAAGCCCAAGGAAGGGAATCTTCCAGAGCTGGGTAATGAGGATTGGGGGCCTAGCAAGCAGGAATTGATGAAGGAAAGAACAGAGGGAAGCTGTCTGGAGGAGTAGAGGGGTGGGGTCTGAACAAGTGGATCTAACCCAGCTTCCACCAGAGAGCCCGCCTTTCCCTGTCCCCTGTATCCTCTCAGGCAATCCCGAACTGCACACAGCACCCAGCTGCCCACCACCCCCGTGTCCCTCGCCACGGGCACCTTACCAAACCAAGCCCAGCTCAGACTCTTTTCCCCAAGCTTATCCTTGCCTCAGTGAAAAGAGCACTCCCTCCACTGCAGGCCTGGCTCAGGGAGTCCTCCCTGATTTCCTGTCCTCCTCCCACACTGTTGGAACTACAGGCCTGGACCACCATGGCCAGCTAGTGTCCCTTCAGAATCTTTGCCTGAGTGGCTTGCTTTGCCAGTGATGTCCTTCTAACTTCCTTCCCATTCATTTGTTCCAGGTATTTGTTAAGCATCTGCAAAGAGCCCTGCATGCAGGGGCAGTGGAAACTGTGACTCAGATAAACAGGTCACAGAAGTGCCATTTGGGTCACCTGATGGCCACCAGGAGAAGGAATAGAAGAAGCCAGGGAAGATTTCCTAAAGGAAGGACATTCAAACGAGGAAGAGGAAGAGAAGTGAGTACACCGTTGAAGGAGGCCAGGGCAGGGGAGTGAGCTGCTAGGACAGAGGCCCAGTGGGCCAGCACAGGGCACCAGAAGGGCAAGGCCCAGAATTCAGAGGAGTGGGACATGTTCTTCTAGCAGTCTCCCTTCCCTAACTTCCCCCAGGGCTCCTGCCAGCACTTGGAGCTGCTCCACCCTCAGCCTCAGTCATCTTAATAGCATCTCCCTGGCTCACGCCCTCCCAGGCCAGCCCTGAGCTGGGACCACCTCTGGTGACCAAGGAGATGGGCTCTTCCCTGGCTGTCCTGGGACCTCAACTCCTCCAACCCACTCCCCTGCCTGCTCACCCTCAGGGATGGCCTGGCCTCACCTCCCAACTCGCAACCCCCACCCCGCCCACCAGGTACGCTGACTCCAAGTCCACATCTTTCATCTCTTCCAGCTCAGTTCCACAGGTTGGTGGCTGTGTGAATGGCAGGCTGCTCCCAGGGGCATCTCTGGGGTCCAGCTCACCACTAGCAACTGCACAAACACAGCCCTGAGCCGTTCCTCTGAAGCTGGAAAAGTGAGGACAGAGAGGAAAGCTACTTGGCAAAGAAGGCTCTGGGAATGAGTAGCCACCGATTCCTGGCCCTGGTCCTCTCCCAGATTAACCCTGCCCCATTCTCAAGAGGACAACTTCATGGGACCAGGACTCAGCAAGAGAGCCCGAGACCCTCACAGCCAGGGCAGAAAGCAGGGCCTCCGCCTCGGTTGCAGGCCACTCTCTGCCTGTGTGGCCCCTGGCTAGTCTCACCCCTCCCTAAGCTGCATCTGCTCACAGGCACATTTTATGAAGTGATTGAAGTTATCAGCAGAAATAAATAAACTTATCAAAGTTTTTCTGTCCAAAGGCAAATACATGAATTTCATGTAACCTTTCTTAAGTATACATGGCCATATATCCTTGGAGACTGAAATATATATATATACAGTTGTCCAAGATGCATATTTACAAGCATGCAGAGTCACAGGAAGAGTGAGCTGTAAAACATCTCCCATGCGAGGAGCCAGCAAGACCTGCTCAGCTTGTCGCTGAGGTCGTGCCCCAGCATCTGCTCCAGCCCTGGCCCCTGCGCCACACGATGTGCACACCCCTGCAAAGCCCACTCATCCTGAAGCATCAGCTCAGTCCCTGCAAGGGTATCTTCCTGACTATGGCACTTTGTCCTTGGCATGAAATGTTCTCACATTCATGTACCTGCCTCCTGTGCCACCTCGCAGGGTCATGGGCCCAGCCACTGTGCCTTCCTGACCTTTCTTTCTGCATGGTTTTCTTTTGGCATTTTTCCCTCCAGACAGATCTCCCTTTGTAGTCCAGGCTGGTCTTGTACCCACTATGTAGCCCAAGCCAGCCTGAAACTCTTGGCACTCCTCCGCCTCAGCCTCCAGAGTGCCGGGCGTGCAGGTGCACACCACCACCACCATGCCCAGCTCCCTTCCTGATCCTTCTCCCCCCACTTCATAGACAAGCAGGGATATGCTTATGGGAAAGGAGTAACAGGACTCAGAGCTGTGTCAGGGGCCAACACAGGGCTGGGTGCTTGTACCGGAGGAAGCGATTGAGGTCCCCATGCCGCATGTACTCAAAGACCATCAGCAGTGGGCGGCCCTCCGTGCAGACCCCAAAGAAGCGCACAATGTGCTGGTGCTGCAGCATGGTGAGCAGCTCTGCCTCGCGTTGGAAGTCCTGCCGTGCGCTCTCAGACACTTCCTTCAAGGCCTGGGGAATGGGGGACAGGACAAAGGGGGGTCCTTACTTCCCTACCTCCAGGCCAGCCCCCACCCCGTCTCCAGCCACACTGGACTCAGGCAGCCCACCCCCAGCCAGAGCGCCACATCCTGGCAGTATGCTGGGACGTGAGATCCAGGCCAGGGCCTCACCTTGACAGCCACCAGCATCTTGTCCTGGTCAGGAAGCAGGTTGTGGCACTCAGCGAGAAAGACCTTCCCAAAGGCACCCTCACCCAGCTCCCACTTGAGCACGATGTCCCGACGCTTGATGTGATGGACACCTAGGGGGGCTTACAGGATCAGGGGGCCATTTGGGGCAGATAGGAAGTGCAAAGGGGAGGACTGTCTAACATAGCTGGGTGCTGCACAAGACCCATGTCACAGTGTCGGCTACATTTGCCCTGATAGGACATGGTGTCAGGGCTGTGGCCTTGGGCTATAGCCAGGAGTCAGGCTGATCTCAGCCAAAGAAAAGTATGTTGTCCTAGGGATGGGGACAAGTGGGAGAGAGGGACTGGTCAGACATGGGGCAGGCACAGGCTTCTATACACACACGTGTGTGCTCACACACACACATGCACACATATACACACTTGCCCTTGCCCTCGCCATGGCATGGCCCCTCACAGGCATTGCTGAAGTACTGTGGATTCTCGATGATGTGGCCTTGCAGTCCAGAACCTTTGCCCTCAGCAGGAGAAAGAGAGCTGCTACCCAGTGTCATGAAATGCAGGGACATGGCCAGCCCGTCCTCTGGAGCCAGCACAGCAGGGCCTGGTGGGGAGACACAGCCACGTGGAGGGGCCACAGCTCAGGTACCCACCTTGGTCTTTGCCTACACTTGCTTGTGGGATGCCAGGTCACCCCACCCTTACCCCCCTCATACCTTCCCCCTACACTAGGAAGCAAGACAGCAGGCAGGGAAGGGGCTGTATCAGGGCCGCTCTCTATCTGGCTCCTGTTCAATCCCTGGCCTCATGGGCACCAAAGAACCACCCCCTCCCCCAGCCCAGACCTCCCAGACCCACTTAGTGTTTGACTACAATCCAGCCACCAATTAGCAGCTGTTACTTCTGAAACTACCCTGCACCTAGCCTGACGCGCGCTCAGGAGCCCATAGCAGCCCCTCATCAGTGCCCCAAACGCAGTTGCATCCTAAAGCTCCATGCCCCCATGCAAAGACACAGTCAGGAAGAGCCAGGAGGAAACGGCCAGTGGAACTGACAGCACTCACGGTTGATCCCAAACTTGTTTCTCTGTCCACATTTGTTGAGCACGAGGAGCACAGCAGAAAGGAAGAGGCAGGCAAAGACAGCCAGGCCCACAGCCACAGAGACCTGGGGGCGGGTCCAAGGCAGGGGCTCCCCTGCACCTTAGAGTTCCCCCTAGCAAGCCATTCCTCCCCCCAAGTAAAGGACCCCAGGCCTGCTTCCTGTGTCCCCTTGACCTCCCTGCTCTGCCCAGAAGTGACCTGCAGATCCCCCCACCCCTCCCCATCAAAGCCCTATTCAAGATGTTACTTCCCACGCTCACCCCAAAAGGCGTTTCGTCCTTCTTCTCCACCGGATGTCCAGACGTGCTGTTAGTGTCTGTGGGGACAAGGGCAGGAGGTGTGGGCCTAGGTACCTGTTGTGTCTCCTAAGGGCTCCACCTCTGCCCAACTTGGACCTCAGAGGTCAGATCAGCGTCCCCTCTGCCCCTGCCTCAGTTTCAGGGACCAGATACAACCTGCCCTGCAACCTAGGCTACTCACCCACCGGGGAGAAGGAGACTGCAGCAGGAGGAAGAGAGAGACAGTCAGATGGAGGAGAACTCCCGGCCCCTGCCTCGCTGGGACTCATCCCTTCGCCTGGGGGTGGGGGGCAGTGGGCCTCAAGGGAGAAAAGGCTCCTGGCGCTATTCCAGTTGGGCTCTGGGTGTTCCGGCACCGAACTCTCTCTTCAGCCAGCCCAAGGATAGAGGAGCTTGGGTAGGGGAGGAGGAGCCAGAGCAGCTAGATATAACTCCTGTCTGTGGGGGCTAAACTTCAGGGCCCCAGAAGGAAAGAGCCAGGCCCACAGGAGTAGGTCAGGGCTGAAGGCTCCCGCCCGCACCGGGGATGGGGTCCTCAGGATTGAACTGGAAGGGGTTGTCCATGAAGGCTGCGGGGACGGAGGCATTATCGTGGCCCAAGGGGTTGACGGCCACCAGCGTGTAGATGCCGTTGTTGACGTGTGTGGGCTGGTTGAGACGCAGGCAGCCGTGGCGCGCGGTCTCGTTGGGAGCAGACTCCAAGAACTGGGTGAAAATGAAGCCAGTCTCATTGAGCACGGAGCCGTTGAAGAGCCAGCGCAGGGAGGGCGCTGGCTGGCCGTCCACGGTGAAGGGAATGCACCAGTGGTGTTGCTCCACCGGGCTCTCCAGGTGCACGCTGGCCGGGACTGTGGGGCGAGCAGGGCCGGGTGTGAGGGCGCTGCCGGTGGGGAGGAGGGAGGGTATTGACAGAGGGTGTTAGGGGTGGGGGATGGAGGGAAAGAGCAGGTGGGAGGGGAAGGGCCGGAGGAAGGCAAGGGGTGGAGGGTGGTCTAAGGCCCTAAGCAATGCGCAGGGAGCAGGTTTTGGGAGGAAGCTGATACTAGTCCGGCAGCAGGTGTACAGCACTCAGAACTTAAAGCACTGAAGCAGCAGGCCCAGAGAATTGGGGTACCAGAGTTTGGCAATGAAATATGTGGGGAGGGCCGGGGAGATAGTTCAGTACAATAAGCGCTTGCCTGGCAAGCACAAGGTCCTGAATTCAATCCCTGGTACAGAGAAAAGAAAAGAAATATGGAGGGAGCCTTTGGAGATAGGACCTAGAAAAGTTAAAGTGTAATAAAGCTTAAGGTGGGGCAGGGACCTAAAAACTTTTTTTTTATTAGTATTAAGGATTGCACCAAGAACCTTTACACTGAACTCCGTCCCCAGTCCTATTTTTATTTATTTATTTTTATTATTATTTTTTAATATATTTGGTACAGGGTCTCACTATGCAGCTTAGACTTGTAGTGATCCTCCTGTCTTCAGCCTCCTCGCTCTGGGATTATAGGTATGTGCCACCATGCCTGGGCTCTGTGGCCGGCTCGGCATGCCCAGGGATGTGGCTGGCGCATGTGTTGCCTGGATCGAAACCCAGTCCCAGTGCTTACCTAAGCAGACACTTAGTCCGCTGAGTTATCTCGCTGGCCCCTTATTTTTGTTTTTGTGTTCATTTGTTTTTAGTATTTTGAGGTCAAGTCTCAGTCGCTAAACTGCCCAGACAAGGCTCAAACTTTCAAACCTCCTGCCTCAGCCTCCCAGAATGTGGGTGTTATAGGCATGTGCCCCTGCACCTAGCGCTTCTGTTTGAAAAGAGATAAGGGTATAAGTTTGAGATAGACCTAACTCTGAAAAAGTGAAAATCTCTCAACAATTAAGGGAAAAAATATAACTAGATGTGGTGATGCACGCCTATAATCCCAACACTCTGGGAGGCTGAGGCAGGAGGATCACAAGCTCCAGACCAGCTTGGACAACTCGGTGAGTTAGCAAGACTGTATGTCAGAGAGAGAGAGAGAGAGAGAGAGAGAGAGAGAGAGAGAGAGAGAGAGAGATGGGAATATAGCTCAGTGGCACAGGGCCTGCCTAGCAAGTGTGAGGTCATGATTTCGATTCCTGGTACCAAAAATAAAATAAAAAAGAGCTGAAAATGTAGCTCAGTGTAAAATTGCTGGATTTAATCCCTAGCAGCAGGGGAAAAAAATTACATGTGCGCATAAATAAACCTATACTAGAATTCTGGCAAACATTATTACACTGCTCATTGAGGCCCTGAGTTCCATCCTCAAACCAAAAAAATAAAACAAGAAAATGCAGGTCTTGGTTTTTGGTCCTTTCCACAAAAATTTCAAGCCTTAATTCATTCTACTCCAAAAAGCTCAATTCAGGTGCTGGTGAGATGGCTCAGTGGTCTAAAGCACCTACTTAGAACAAGCTTAGCAAAGCACAGGGACAGCGGTTCAATCCCCCAGCACCACATGCCAGCCAGTGCTGCCCCCTGGTGGGCTGAGCTGGCCACACACTAGCGCGCGCGCACACACACACACACACACACACATAAATAAAACTTAAAAAAAAAAAAAGCTCACTTCGATGCAGTGCCAATGCTTGTTAGAAATTCCTAGTAGAGATATGATGCCAGTTTTACTTACTTACTTAATTTATTTATTTATTTATTTATTTATTTATTTTTGGTGGTACCAGGGATTAAACTCAGGACCTTGCACTTGCCAGGCAGGTGCTTACGCCACTGAGCTATATCCTTAGCCCATGATGCCAGTTTTAAAACGAACCTTTGCAAGCCTAGAATAAAGTTCTAAATGACAGAGAAAACTAAACTGAACTGAACTAGGGTGTGGAGCAGACTTCTGGAGGGACAAGCGCATGGAAGCGCCATGGAGGTGTGGGACGGTCAGGCGGCTGGTGGAGAGGGCCTCAGGTAGCAAGCCTTGGGTGGAGGCCAGAAAGAAATCCAGCTCCATCCCTCTGGCCTTGGTGAGCCCTGAGGCCTTTCCCCGAAGGAAGGATCGGGTTTTCATGGGAATCTGGGAACAGCTGGGAGAAAGCAGCTGCGGAGACATACATCCTAGCGTCCCCCTGCCCCCTACACCCCAGTCCTCTTTCCAGGGAAGAAGAGATGAGTGGGGGTGGGTGCAGGGCAGGCCCCAGGAACTCACAGGAGACATTGACCTGGACAGAGACCTCAGTCCTGCCCACATTATTCTCAGCCCAGCACGTCACGTTCTTCCTGTTGAGGCCCTTGGTGACATTGGCCAAGGTCAGCTCCAAGAATGGCAAATCCCCAGATTTCTGTATCAGGAGAAGAGGGGAAAATCAGAAAGGGTTTCAGCAGGCTTGGGGTTGGAGGGAGGGGGCTGGAGCTGTGCCTTTGGGGCTCCTCTAGCTCTAGAGGAAAAGGAGACCAAGGTTATAGGGGGGAGATGAAGAGAAGGGTGGGAGGAGACAGCTTGTTCAGTTTCCCAGATCACCTATCTCATGATCTGATAAATCTAATGCACCACCAGTAACCTCAAAAGAGGCACAAAATGGGGCCAGCCAGATAGCTCAGTGGACCAAATTGCCTGCTTCAGCAGAGCACAGCAGCCAGGGTTTGATCCCCAGAGTGCTGTTCTGGACCCTCCTTTGGGGCACGCTGAGATGGGGATTAAGAGTGGGCATGGTGGTGCACACCTATAATCCCAGTGCTTGGAAGCTGAAAACAGGAGGATCACTTCAAGTCTGATCTGTGTGGTAAGACCCTATAGATCTCGCACTAAATTCATTAGGAGGAGGAAGAGGAGGAGGAGGAGGAAGAGGAGGAGGAG